ATAGATGGAGATAAAGGGTGATAAGGCATAAATCCCTAAGGAGTTAGAGACACCGACCACTTGGAGAGGTAGAACTCATAGAGTCTGACTGGACAACGAAGGGGGTTCTCCTGGTTCTCCATCATCTCCAGCAAATCCTCCTCAGACTCGTTTTTCTTAACCTTCTTAGCTGGGACGTCATACGTGTCTGAAGAACACACAAAAACCACAACAACATGACTTAAGTAAAAATGTAAACTTCCATGTCATACAATTTACTATACATGAATTTCATTTGGGCCCTCAGCCGTTTGGTACCTGACTCTTCCTGGTTTGTACAAGTAGGTGGGTGGAAGCGTAGGAAGGTGGTCTTGGTGTTGCTCTTGCTGGTTTTGGTGCAGAGTGTGATGTTTGCAAAGGACAGCCGGCGGTGCTGCTCGACTGTGGTGAAGCCAAAGTACTTGCAGAAGAAGAAGAGCAGCGTGTTGAGCAGGACAGTGGGGGAGTACGCCCCCAGCTGTTTACAGTCCCACAGAAACTGCTCCTCCACACAGGACAGGACACAACCTGCCAAAAACAGCAGGCAGCTGATGATCGTGATCAAAATATCAAAGACAGGAAAAAACTAAGGTGCTGAAGATAATTTACCTCCACCTGTGACTGAAGGTTTAAGGATCTTGGTCAACTCAGTGGAAAACCTGTCGTAGATGAGATCACTGAATATGTTCTCCAGCCGACCGTTCTGAACCAAAAACTACAGAGAAAGACAAAAACCAATATGGCTCATTAAACACTAAACACAGGATATGGTTATGACAAACAGGTGGGTGACAAAATAACAGAAAAAGTAAACAATCGCTGAGTGTTGGATCACTGTGCCCACGGAGCAGCATGAAAGCCCCATGACACTCACCCAACCTCTAAATCTTATCATCAATGTGGAAGCTTGTGCTGTAAAAACAAGTCCACCTCCATCGACTCCGCCCAAATCACCAGAACACAAACGTCATGAAGCCCAGAATCCCCAGCCGAGAACACCAGCGTGCTGTGTGAAAAACATGCACACTAGTGTCTAAAGCCAGCATGAAGATATAGTTTAAGCCAGCCAGCAGACGTAGTAAGTGAGAGAAGGGCCCAGAACGCCACAGAAGCCGAGGGACAGCAAACAGACCCAAAAGTCCAAGAAGGGCGCTGGCCAGCACAACCCAGGCACCATGGCCAAAAGCACAAGACCACCAGCAGCCCCAAAAGGAACCCACCCAAGCCCCACACTCCTGGACCCCCATCAATCTCGGAAGCAAGAGCCACCCAGAGAAGGAGCCAGAGAGCCAAGTTAAAAAGAACCAGCAGGATCAGGCAGCCCATTTGTTAATAATTATAAATGTATATATTGTCATTTCTAGTCTTACCAGCTGAATGCTGAGGCAGAGGTAGAACAGCCTGCCGGGGGAGTACGGCTCTCCATCGGACTGTTTCACCTCCCTGATGAAGCAAAGCAGGCAGTCGCTCAGTTCAGCCACAGAGCAACGAAGGAGGTCCGCCTTCAGCGTCAGTGCATGAGCTAACAGATGAAAGAGTCACGAAAAGGTTTTAGTGGATTAGCTTTGACATCATTGCCTTCATGAGACAAAATACAAAAAAAATAAAGTTACACTCAAATTGTATTCATCTGCTCTTTTTTTATGAATTGTCTCAGAATGGAAAAACAAAGGTTTCTCACAGGACTATGGATTTTATGGTCTCTATACGAAGGTCAAACTTGACCTTGTTTTCCAGCTACAGGACCTGGGCATCGTGCAGTCACTGAGTCGACCATGGACTCCTCTGTGTACCAAAGTATTTGGCTTTGAGTCAAACGTGAGGCCCAAACTGAATCATGGAACAGGACAATGATCCCAAGCACAGCAGGATGGCTCAGAATGAATAAAGTCACAAAGTCCAGACCTCAACTGAACTGAAATGCTGTGACAGGACCTTAAGAGAAATTTATTCCTGCTAGATTCTACAATGTAGAGGGTGTAGTTACTTCTTCACTGGAAAAATGGGGAAATTTTCAAACAGCAGCATGAAGTTCTTAAAAGTTAGAAAAAGCTCCATCCTCTACCTGCACATATGCACGAACAAAGCAGAAAACAGCATGTTTATGACTATAGTAGTGTTTGCTGGGATTTTTCCACCTGAATTTTTTTAAACTCACTTCAAAGAGGGAAAAAATCTAAAGCTTACAGACAAGTAAAAAAATGTTACAAAACATACAAGAAACGGGCTCCGGGTTGGTTTGCGACTCTCTCCACTTGATCCATCTCTTCCAGGCATCAACTCCACATTGACTCTTGAGTGTGTTTTGCTTTGAACACACTGGTTGAGTAAAGTCTGTTTTAGGAGCGTCTTGCTCATCTTTCTTTGAAAGCTGCTCCAGGTTACAATCCTGAGACACACAGAAGAGTCAAAACCACAGAAAGGAAACATCACGCAGCTTCTAACCAGCTCAGCTGGTTTCTTACCTTGTTCTTGTCTTTGTCCAAAGTTTGTGGTACTAAAATTGGAGCAGGAGGAGCGACGGGTGATCTCTGAGGAGTTTCCAGAGCTGAAGGAGGAGAAAGAGGTGGGGGTCAGGAAGAGGACTGCTGGGCATGTCCTCATCTGAAACTGGAGGGGAGGTTTTGTGGCCTCGCGGCTGAGTGACCGGCCCGGCGCTGGTATCAAAGAAATCCTCCTGGTTGTCAAAAGTGGGCTTAAAATCTGTACGCAAGTCACTGCTGCAGCTCCTGGTGTGGTCTGAAAATAATGAAAAAAAACAAGAGAGAGAAACAGTTATTTTATCCTTGATATTTTTATTATTAGAGAAAAAAAATATGTGCACTTATTACAGGAACACAGCACCTATATTCCATGTCACAAGACCTTTTACAAAGCACATTCTGACAGCTCAAAGCAGTAAAACCAGCAAGTTCAACAACTGCAGCTAAATGGAGTAGAGCCAGCTGTTATTATTACTAACCCGAAAAACACACTGTATGTAAGTGTTGTTGAAGCTAATAGTAACCTGTGTATTAACATTATTAACAGGTAATACTAAGGTGTGTTTGTTTACAGGAAACATCCCTAATCAGCCCTCTATGGTGACACAGGATCTTTGACACCGCTGTGACTGTCACGTCCATCCCGAGTAAACCGAAACATTAAGTCATAAATGACTGATGAGATCATAACAATGACACAAACAGTTGTTTGGCTCAGTTTGGTTCATGTGTCCATAAATGATGGAAACTAACTTTTCTTACCCGAGTACTACAGGTCGTCCTGTCCCTGTAAAAATATAACTCTGTAATTATTTCATGTAATTAAAAACAATTCTTACCCTCCAGGGATGAAGGCTTGGGTCTTTCTTCCTCTTTTATCATTTTTCCATGCTTCTGCCCTTCCTCGCTCTGCTCTATCTCCGTCTCAGGCCTGATGTTGAGCTCACCCTGTAAGTTTTCAGGATGCAAACTCTCCTTTGTGGATTTCACCGTTGCCTCAGAGCCATCTGTGTTCACAGGGAGGACCAGGGGCACAGGCAGCTGTGGGAAACACAGACTTAAGACTCGGGTTTCTACTGAGTTTAAAAGGTTGAAATGCGGCAAATGACAAATGTACTTAAAGTTAAAAGCAGCAGGACAAACAGCTTTCAATAAATTATCATCGTTTTTTAAATGAACCACAACTCAGAAATGTTTTTTTCCTCAAACAGAAAAAAACTTCAAGGATTTTTAAAAAATATGTAACCTAGAAATGACAAAGCAACATTTAAGTACTTTTAAAGAATGAGAGCATTTATCTTACAGTAATGGTCTCATATTTGTTTAAGATCAAAGATGTGTTTTACTTACCAGTAAGGGCAGGCCCACCGGCTGTGGGGTGTACTGGCTGTACATGTTCATAGGCACAGGAACGTAAACCGGCACTGGGACAGGCAGGACTACGACTTTAGGATCACAACGGTCTTCTAACAACAGAAAAGAAAAAATTGAGTAAACACCAAAACTGTTAATTCTGAAAAGATGGTACCTGTTCATGTTTCACAACAGACATTTTATGTGCTTCACCTTTTTGTGTCTCTATGTTAAGAGCCTCTTCTGTACAGGAGACCCCTTTGTTATGAACCAGCGGAGTACAGATGATCGACTTGTTCTTGAGCTCCTTTGGGACAGTCTGAACGCTGGCCTGAAGAACAGACAGGTCACAAAAACACCTTCAACTACGATCAAATCAAAATGACGACAAAGACAACTTCATTTGTAACACAGATCATATTATTAGGTCATTCTGAAATTTAGCCACTTCTAATGTATCAAAACAGAAGTTTATATAGAGGCACATTGATTAAAACATCTATGCAGACTTACATGTCCAATGACCTTTGTTTGAATGTCAGTGATGGAGCCTGTGGAGAAATGATAACCAGAAAAAACATGGCAATAACTATAGTCAGAGCAGCTAAAACAAAACACACACAGCATCACAATTTCCCACAATTACTACTCAGTTTATTTCCTGGGTGAAATATCACCATGTGTTAATAAATAATGTGTCTGTGTGTGTGTGCGCGTGTGTGTGTGTGTGTGTGTGTGTGTGTGTGTGTGTGTGTGTGTGTGTGTGTGTGTGTGTGTGTGTGTCTGTGTGTGTGCGTGTACCAAGCTGTGGAGAGGCTGCTGGGCCGCTGTGCTGCCTGGTCAGAGCATTAGCCAAAGATAAAACATTCCCAATGACAGGAGAGGACTCTGCTGGTGCTGCAGGTACTGGAGATAAAGAGACTTCTGGAAAGAGAGGAGAGCCAGTCAGTGGTGCCAGTAACTGATTAAACTGCAGCACAGATTTATAAAGTCTGTAACTGACCCAGGACTCGAGAACAAATTATAGCCTTCACTTAACCAGGAAGCTCCATCAGGAGCAAATGAAACAGCAAATGTGCATACCTCCGTCGAGCATCTGAACCTTGTTACTGCAGAAGTGCAGGAGACACTTCATGCCACAGAAGTATTTGACCTCTCCCAGCAGTGGCAGACTCTGCTTTAGTTTCCCTTTGTTACTGCAGGTGTCACATTTTGCCACCTGAGAAAAAAATCAGTTAGGAGAAGAATTGGTGATTAAATTGTCTTTTTACAAATTATATTCAAGGGTAAAAGGAAAAAGAACCTTCATCTGCAGCAGACAGACTGTGCAGAGTGTGAGCATCACCCTTCACTTACATGGATGAGGAGCATTTTGTATTTTGAGCAGCAGGCTTCAGAGCAGAACTCGATGTCCGTGTCTTCACCCGGTGTCATCACCAGACTCTTGGATATCGACTGGCAGTAACTGCACGAGCGACAGTGTTTACCCCACTTCCCTTTTAGCTCTTGACAAAAAAGTGTCTTGCAGGCTGCGAGAAGAGAAAGATGAGGCTCCAGTAAACTTCCCAATCATGTGAAATGGACCATAAACAAACTACACTGACATGTTCTCCCTACCATCGCTGCAGAAGCAGCAGTCTTTGCCGCCGACTCTCTTGACGTCTTTGATGATTCTTTCATTCTTACAGTATTCACAGGTAGCCGTGATGCTGTTGACCCTCTTAAATTCTTGAAAACAGGCCACACTACATGCAAAGTATATTTTTTCCTGCACACAAACATGGTTATATTTTGATAAAAATCAGTCCACATAAACATGAATGTTTCTAACAGCTTACAGGTGACAGAGAGACAGTTTAACAGCTGGTGTAAAACAGTGTTGAACTAACAATGCATACAATCAAGAGAGGAAAAAAAACAACAAAATTTTCAACCCACACAGCCCTCACTGTTTGTGGTTCTCCACATTTAAAGAAAGGACGGGAGAATGGTACCTTTCTCTGGATGACTTTGGGTGTAGTTAATACGATGCTTTGACACTGGGCGCATAGCAGCTTCGGTGGTGGATGGAGGAAATCCCTTTGACTTTGATCGGGGACTCCTGCTGGATTCTGGCTCTCCTGTAAATCAGACAAAAGAAAGAAATGGGCGAGCCATTGTTCAAAACTTCTGATAGAAATGTGACAAACAAAATCTTAAAGTCAAGCTTGCTGTAAAGAAAGTATTTCACCTTTGGGTGCTTTTAAATGTTTTTGGGTGGGAATCGAGGGCTTTGTTTTATTAGCATATATTAAATACATTACCCTGAAATCCATGCCACACTTAAGAGTGCAGAAGTTTCTGATGGAGGCATCTGACATGGCAAGGTGACAGGTTGGCACTGCAGTCTTACCACAGTGGTCACAATTCAATGAGGCAGCTGAGGAGAAGGGGAGGTTTAATCGAGGAAAGCATGAAACTGAGCAGATTTATGTTTGCACCTTTGAATTTGAAGTCTTTTCATACAGTTTAAAAAATGCTTTATCTCCAGGTTTTACTTTTATAAATAAAAAATAGTTAACACACAATGAAAGTTTGAAGCTTCTGAGTTACAAACAGAACTAAATAAGACAAACAGAAGCTGAACAAAGCATCCGTCCCGTACCTGATGAATTGACAGCCTGGATCTTGAATGCAGACACGCAGCTTTTGGTGCAGAAGAGCTCCACAACATTTTCACTGCTTTTGTTTTCAACCATGTCTGATGTCGGAGAAGTGTTACGGCACATTGTGCACGGCTGCGGGGTTTGGATTTTCTGTGCAACAACAAAAAGCAAAGACTCAAATTCAGCTCGTGTCATTTTTTGAAGATTAGGAAAAAGTAACATTTTGCTTTTAGAAATTGCCTAAAATCTTAAATGAAAAATGAACCTCCTTTGATCCAGTTTTGTTGCAACCTGCTTACACTTGCAAACCTGCAGCCAAAGCTGCCTCAGATGAGTGTAGCAATGCCCTCTTTTCTTAATGTCATACAGACCCAGCTGTCTAACACTAAGTGACAAAAGCAATCTGAATCCTGGGTTTTTGGCTCATTATTTAACATATCCGATGTGTTTAATATTTGCCACAATACATTCACAACAGTAGGAAAAGCAAACTTTATCCTTCAGACCTGCTTGAATTGGGCCAGGCACTCTTCACTGCAAAGTTTGTTGCCGCCCTCCTCCATCTTGAGCGTGAGCGGTGTTTTACGGTGTGCGCGGCAGTTCGCACAGACTGTGATGTTGTTCATGCCGCAGAACCGCAGAAAACACGGCTCACTGCAGATCTTGTGGATGGCGTCCTCTTTCGTGATCTCGTGTTTGCTCTACAAGAAGATAAACAGAGGTCAGGCTCATTTAGAACACACGAATCCAGCTAACAAATAAACTGCAACTTAATCATCGACTGATGAAACTATTATAGCAGGCAGTGTCGTGTAATTAGATTAGAGAAACTGTTCCCTGGTCTCTTACAATGCAATATCTGCTGCACATGCTGCATTGTGAGTGTGATGAGACAGGAGCCACGGGTATTTTGGTGGACACTTGTTTCTTGTAGTTGAAGGAGGACAGGCAAGTCTGGCTGCAGAAATCCTTCTTTGTCCCCTCGTTATCCAGCGGGGCCTCGAGGATGTCCTGAGGCTCTCTTATCACTCTGAGAAAACGAGGAACGGTAAGATTAAAAAAATTCAATAGAGTGAAGTTTAGATGAAGTTGAAATAAGTTAAAGGACATCAGTTATTCTGTGAATGAGCCTAAAAAGAAGAATAATTAGAGCTGTTGGGTTTATCTAAGCACAAACCCTGCTGGAACAATAAGACAACCAAAGCAGCACCAAAACAAGACACAAGACGGAGCTCTTCGTCTGATCACTCGCGAGGGAAGCAGACTACGGTCAAGCGCTGTTCCTTCCACTTGAACCCTGTCAACCTCGGCCGGACTTCCCGTAGCGCCCCTTTTATTGTGTGTGTGTGTGTGTGTGTGTGTGTGTGTGTGTGTGTGTGTGTGTGTGTGTGTGAAAAATATGGCCCTGTGAAACCTGCTCAGCCAGGCCTAGCAATGTTTTACTATGTTATCTGCAAAGGAATGCAACTCCCAAGATGACTGGCACGAGGCGCCTCCAACCAGCCCAACTAAGACAAACAACTGTTGTAACTGAACAGATATAGAGTGCGTGTGTTCCACCATACCATATATCACAAAACAAGATGCGACCTTCCCATGAACTTGGTAAAATGGCCTGCATTTGTATAGCGCTTTACTTAGTCCCTAAGGACCCCAAAGCGCTTTACACTACATTCAGTCATTCACACACAGCGCCAGCAGGCACCACCACCAGTAGGCAAACATGGAGTTAGTATCTTGCCCAAGGATATTTGACACGCAGGAGGCAGCCTGGGATCGAACCACCGACCTTCTGATTAGTGGCTGACCTGCTCTGCCACCTGAGCTACAGCCACCCCTAACTTAACATGTGTATAAGGTACACCTAACAGCAGAAGGGAGTGAACAGAGAATGCACCCAGAACCTTAGCAGACCTAAATAAGGATGAGACATTTAACAACATACAAACAATTATATGTTTCTAAGTACAAATGACAATCTTAAGTTATCACTCTCACAAGAGCAGTCCAGCAACCAAAGACTGGGACTGTTAGACTCACTGAAGACAGAAGTGGCACGTCCTCCAAACTGGTATCTTTTGGTAACATTTCAGGAGGCAGGAAGTGGAGCAGAATGCGCCAGTGTGGTTTTTCCTCTGGTAAACTGTCTCTCCATCCATGAGGACCTGTTTGCAGGCGGAGCACGATGCAGGGACATCCGTGTTGGTGAGCGAGGGCTCTGCAGGTTTGGATTCATCGGTCAAGGAGAAAACCGACCCAATCTTTAAGTCCTCCTGTAAAAACCAGAACAGGAGACGATGCGCGGGTGGAGTGCTGTTTAAATGATCCCCTGGATATTTAGATGATTTAATGTGCTGTCTATGTTTTTCTAGTTACAATAAATGACATCATTGTGTCCAGTAACATCTAACTGAAATAATAAAGAAGTTACTGTATAATGTAAAGGGGAAAATGATTGATAATGATTGAGTATCTTACCTTTACTACATTTGGCTCCTTCTTGATGTCCTGATGAGAAACTGAGGCTGTGAGACTCTGGCTGTACCCCTCATCGATGGGCTCTGTTTTGATCTTGATGAAGAGGCAAGAGAGATTTGGATTAACTGTGTAAGGTTAATAGCAAAGGCCTACATGTGAAGCACTGTGAGGACTCTAACGTAAGTGGTAATGTACTGGAAAGAGATTTAATAAACAGAATTTATTGTAATCATGAATTGCTGTTATCATTCAGTTGTTAATAACATTTATTCTGTCACTGAATCCAAACTGGGTGTGGCTACTAAAGAAGACATTTTTTACATAAAACTTACGCAGTTGAGATGTATTACAGATGGCTTCGCGTCTTTAACCTCACAAACTTCAGATGAAGAGCTTTTCTTGTCTATAAGGACAAAAGCATGAACAATATTTCTGCTTTTGACACCTAAAAGCTTAAAAACTGCTGTCCAACTGCAAAGTTCAGCGAGCACAGCACAATAGAGCACACTTTCTCTGCAGTTTGAAATATGACTGGAGATACCCGTCACAGTGAAGGTCTGGGCCTCGTACACCATCATACACCTGTTGCTGCAGAAGAACTCCAGCCTGCCTTCATCATTTTTATTTTCAATCATGTCTGACAGCTGATGGGACGTCTGGCACATGGGGCAGAGCTGACGAGTGCCAACTTTCTGCAAAGATAACGAATGAAAAATGTGAGATGAAGAACACCATTACCTTAGACATATGTTGTAAAGTATTATGCCTACTCCACATTTATGAAGGTGAGACTCATAATGGTTTTTAAAACTGAACTGAGTGTCTTAAACAGAAGTTATAACACTTTGCTGTTTGCATTTAAGCTGCACATGTTTTGCTTAACACATGAAACACAAAGCCTGGTGATGACCTGTTATTAGTTCGTTTAAATTATCGGATGCTCTATGAGTTAAATGTGCCCTGATTTCTTTTTATTTCTCAAGTCCTTAGTTTTCAAACATCCGGTCCTGAAATAACATTTAATGAACATTTAATAATTTCTGTGCGCTTTCCTCATACTGACACAGTAACAGGATGTCTGGATTATATGATGGAGTTACATTAAGCACAAATACATTAAGGGAATATATAAAAGATGGCCTCATGTTACCTGCACATAGCTACTTTACCACAGACATGGTTGCTTGATTATGATTAGTAATTAACAGTTCTAATAACTAAGAATAATAAAACATGCTCCTCGTTCTCTTTCCTCTCAACTAGCCACCTGCCAGCAATCTCTTCCTGTTAAAATGGAGTCCTTCCTTTGCACTTTGCACATTCCTGCTATGAATTTGTTGTTTTAGGCACATTCAAGTCTTTTTGTCAAATATGGAGATAATGTGTTTGGGGGTTTTTTTGTTTTGTTTTTATTTCTGCACCTCTTTAAACTTGACCAGACATTCATCACTGCAGAGGGCTTTACTGCCGTCCTCCAGCTTGACCACGAGACATTTGTTGTAGCAGACGGCGTCACACATGTCGCAGAGAGACAAGCGCAGGTTGTTGACTTTGCGGTAGCTCATGAAGCAGGAGTCACTGCAAAGTCTGTGGACCACGCCGTTCAGGGTCACCGTGAGTTTGCACTAAGGTTGGAAACGGAATGTGTTAAGAGTAGTTATTACAAAAATATATTATGAACGTGATAATAATAACAAGTTTTAAAGTAAAAGGATGGAGATATTCTGCAGCTTTTTTTTTTAAATTGTCACAAACACTCGCCTCCAGCATTGTCTAAGAATCCTTAAACAGTTCATGACAAATGCGCTACAATCCCTAATGCATATAAAACAGAGTTCAGAGTAATTTACTTTATTTCTTTTCCTTACATAACAACATCTGGCACACATCCTGCACTGTGAACTAGGTCCCTCTTTTGGTGGAGGCTTAGTAGCAGCCTTTTTCATTTTGGATGTGACGGAGGAGAGACATGTATCGCTGCACAACTCCTTCATAGTTCCCGAATCATCCACCGGAGCCAGGATGATGTTTTGAGGTCGCGCAATCACCCTGAAGAAATAAGATGAAAGAGATCAAAGAGATTTCTGAGTCACTGAGATTAAATTTTTTGTAGATCAGCATGTCAAGTTAGCACATTCACAAACCTGTTGAATCTGTAGAATGTTTGTTTTTGTGCATTTAACCCCGCTGCTCATTTAAATGGAGAATTAAAATACAGACTTACTGAAAGCAGTTGTGGCACTTTTTGATGGGTATTTTGATCTCGCAACGCTTTTCATGTAAGCAGGCCATGGAGCAAAAAAACTCCTCTGTGTCTTTCGGCTTGTAAAGTGTCTCTCCTTCCAACAAATTCTTTTTGCAGTGGAAACAGAGTGTGCACTCGTCGGCGATGAGCAACACTGTGTCGTTTGGTTCGACAGCATCCTCCTGTGGGAAGAGCCTCTGTTAGTATATAGGGATTAGAAATCTTCCCCAGACTTGAATGTAAGCTCTGTTTTCTGTGACTGAAGCGGAAAAAGAAACAAAGCATACTCACAGTGTTTGTCTCTTTTGATTGGTTATCGGTTTTTCTCTTCACTGAAGGGAGAAATCAGACATGTGATTACTGAAAATACAGCTGCTGTTCATGACTTGATCAATAACCTTTAGGAGTCACACAGATGAAATTATTAAATATGATCCAAACTTTCCTCCTCCACACAAAGTCAACGTAAGGCTTGTTGGGACACACTTAAGAAACACTTACTGGATTTATCTCACATGTTGGAGGCATATGGACACTTTTTAAATAGAAGATGTCAAGACGAATGAAGAGAATTATAATAAAGGGAAAAGAAATCGATACTTCTGTTAAGAACTTTCAGAATAAAAGCAAAGACAGGATGCAGAGATTTGTAAGATGAGCCTTTTACCTACAGTTAAGGTGATTGCTTGGATTTAGCAAGTAAAAGTACAACAAGTCACAACATCACAGACTTCTACCAACAGTATTTGAATTCTATGTTTTTCTGTTACTAGATTTCTCTTTATAGAGACATGTTTGTTAACAAACACATCAATAGTCTTATTACTATCTTCATATAACAACATCATGGTTATTACAAAATAAGAGTTTTTGATTATTTGTAAATCCTGTGAAAAAGTTATCATTCAGTCGCTTTTGGTTTTGAAATAGTGACAGTGAAAATTTGACCACAACACTATCACTTCTGAATATGAGGAAACCTCAAAAGAGTGAAAAGGAAGAAAAAGAGATAGGAGTGCCACTTGAAAGGCTGATTCAGTCTGAACTGTTTTTGCAGTAGTTACACTGCCTCGCTGCTGGATTCTGTGGCTTCTCATGGCACAGTATGATTTTATTTTACCTTTTAGACGTGGCATCAGAGCACTGTGGTCCTATTTTTTATGAAATCTATGACAACCCAAGATTTTCCTCACACCCTATTCCTCCACAAGTATGCAGATAAATGCTACACAAACATAATTCATTAATTTCAATTATATTATCATTTCACACTAAACCATCTCTGGGGTTTTGAGGGGGAAACTCTAAGCCTTTCTCTGGCTGTTCCAACCACACCTTTCAGCTAAGAAAACTGAGCTCATTAAAATTAGACAGTAGAAGATTGGAAGAATGTGGCCTTGTCTGATTACTGCTGATACTGGGATGGTATGGACAGAATCTGGCAAGAACAATATGAAAGCATTGATCGATTCTGCCTTGTATCAACAGTTCAGATTGGTGGGGGTCTAACAGTGTGCAAGATCATTTCTTGGCACAGTTGAGCACCGGTTAAATGCCAAAGCCTACCCGAGTACTGTTGCTGACCAATTCCATCCCTTTGTGACCCGATTTCAGCCAAGCTTTGGCTGTCAGAGAGATGGCCTCAGATTTGACTCTAGAATACTTTGGTTTTGGTAAATTCAGTGGTTACAATGTGCCCAAAACCTCTGCCACAGGGCCTGGAAGCAGCCATCCTCTGATGTCAGAATTTTCAGATCATGTCAAACTGGTTCTTGAACATGACGATGAGTTCACTGCACTCAAATAGAACTCACCAGAACCCAATCGAGCACCTTTGGGAGGTGGTGGAACAGGATATTTGCTGACATGCAGCTGACAAATCTGCAGCAACTGTGTGATGCTATCATGCCGACATGAACCAAAATTTATGAAACTATACCATGAAGGATTATGGCTGTTTTGAAAGCTAAAGGGGTCAACACAGTGCTAGCAAGATGTACCTGATTAAATGTCTGGTGAGAGAATAACTTGTATGTGATAAAAACAGTTTAAATTGTTTCGTTTTAAGAAGTGAGTGCTATACGTCTTTTATAACGTCTCTGATTTTGACCTGAAGATCCAGTAAAAAGATGTGAAAAATGGACGTTTGACAGATTCACTGTGGATTACCTTGATCCATCTCATCTGTCAGTCGCAGCTCGTAAGATTTCACACAAAAGCGGCCGCAGAAGAGCTGCACCACGTTCTCATCGTTTTTAAAGTTAACCATGTCAAAGACAGGTCGAGAAAAGAGGCAAGTGGTGCAGCGTAGGAGCATCCTGGAGTTCTGCAGAATAAATGTTTTTTTAAAAAGAGATCTTTGGGTTTTTGTGTAGATTATTACAACATTTTGGTCCCACAACTTTGCATTTTCCCTCTCTGATGTATCCGCACCTCTTTGAACCGCTTCAGACAACCACCGCTGCAGAATGTTTTGTTATCATCCTCCAGCTTCAGCGTGAGCGGTTTGCTGCGGCACACAGAGCTGCAGTTCTCACAGATGCCCATGTTGTTCTTGCAGAAATCATCGAAGCATGCGTGGCTGCAAAACCTGATGACTGCCTCGTTCAGGGTCAGCTCACATTTGGTCTGAAGTCAGTGAGAAAGGAGCCGTGGACATAAGATCATGGATTATAAAAAACTTTTTTGTTTAGTTATTAATATTAATAAAATGCCATTGAACGGGATAATAAAGACATACAGCTCTTAAAGGAGACACTGTGATGTGCATGTACATGCAATTAAAGGCAACAAATACGATTTTTTTTTACCATAATAAAGGGAAAAATAAAAACTCTGAACACCCAGGTATCAAAAGAAAAAAAAAAAGTGCTTACACTGCAGACTTTTTTGCATATGTTGCAGACTGACTTTTGTGTTTGGGTGGATGCAGACTTGAAAGAGCTCAAGCAAGCCGGGCTGCAGAAGTCCTTCATAGTTCCTTTAGTGTCCACAGCAGCCATGATGAGGTCCAGAGGCTGCGATATCGCTCTGATCGAAGGGGAGGACAAACACTTAACACAGACACTTATATATCCTATAACCATCCTACCTGCTCAGCGACAAACAGGAGAAATTAATTAAATAATCGTCACCTGCTGGACAAAGCGATTCATTCAGCAGATGATTCCATCAGGAGCTGCTCTGAAACACGGGTCTAAACTGAGCAATCATCTGGTGGCTGCTTAACTAACAGTGACGTCATGCAGTTTATAACTTAATGTCATTATAATGTCATATTGTTGTATATACTCTTTGGTTATGCTGCCCTCAAGTGGATGAAAGTCTTTAATAGAAATAAATTAAAACAGTCCGTGCCTGTTAGTCATCAAGAACAGAGCAGTTTCAACAACACTCACTTATGACATTGGTGACAGGTCTTGGTGGCTGGTTTGTTGTAAGAAAACATCTCAAACAGACAGTTTTTGGAGCAGAAGACGTCTGAGAAGCCCTTCTTCTGGTAAGCAGTGTGTCCCTTCATCATGCTCTTTTTGCAGCGGGAGCAGTTCATGTGCACTGCCTGAAATGTAAAAGTGTAAATCACAGAGTTGATTAAACACATTTTTACAGCATTTTATGCACTGATGAGCTACAACACTAAAACCCAAACGTGTAAAACACAGATTGCCATTGCCGTGGTGCGCTAAAGACGATCTCTGACACAGCCCCCAAAGACAGTTCAGCAATAGCATGAGGAGGTGTTCAGCTGGTCTCCAACTCACTAGCGAGAACCACCTTCAATCCACAGACCATGCTAGCAATTTCCCAGAGTCAGACACCTGAACACAGAGATCCTGTGACCACGCCCTGATGGGTCTGAGCTGTTCTGACAGCACGAGGGAGATCTGCCTCTGATAGAGCTGTTCTCATAATCCAAGTGATCCCTTTAATGGTATCAAAGTTTTACTGACAAAAGAAATCAATCTGAGTGTGCAGTGAAAGAAAAACAGCTGGCATGTTTGTCGGACTTAAGAAGATTTTATGTGTTATGAAAATAAAACTAATGGACATTTAGTCTCTTAAAAACTTTAAAAGGCATCCAGAACATTTATGGATTTGATCATTTTCAATTCAGTTCAATTCAATTTTATTTATATAGCACGAAATCACAACAACATTTGCTTCAAGGCACTTTATACTTTAACATAAATAAACTACAACAATAGCGTTTTAATCCTTGTAATTGATAGATAGCTTATGGAAAACACCTTTCTACAGGCCTGATATTTCATACATTCAGCTCAGATGATTTCACCGAAAATATATATTTTACAGACAAATTCTACTTCGTTGGAAGAGAAGAAAGTTTTCCTACCTTTTCAGAGCTGGGCTTGTTTGTGACCTCTGTAAGTGGAGTAGGTCTTGCACTCTGTTTCTTGTCATCATGGACGGGTTTATCTTCCACCGGCTGCTTGTTACTCAAAGATGACAACTGGGAAATGTGGATGGGATGCTGCACCTTCTCCTACATTTAAAGAGTAGTTTGTAAAGAATGCAGCGATGCTTACAGACCTCACATTTATTCAACTTTTTAAAAGTGTCATTTTCAGCAGGTTGTAAAACATAACAACAAACTGGACTCACGATGTCTAGTTTTGGGATTACTATCTTCACTTCTTTCATCAGAGCCATGGGCACCGATAGGTTGGTCTTCTTTTCTGTGACTAGTAAAACACATTTCCACTTTAGTGAGTCAAACCTCTCCACAGTTCCCAGTTAACAGAACATGAACCCATTTTTCACCAGATTTAGTTTACCTTCATTTAAAGTGGGAGCAGAAGCGTTACTGTCCACATCCATCCAATCATCATCTTCATCATAGTCCTCCTCCACATGGTTCTCTGTGTCGATATCCATTGCCTCTGCGATCTCATCATCAGCACTGTGCTCGTCTGGAGACGTATTTTTCTGCTCTCCGTCACCATCCTTGTTGCTCTTCTTGACTTCTGTTGTTGCATCTTCATCTGTTACCCTGGGCTTTGTACCTGAACTGTTTGAGCGACCGTCTGCAGCAATCTCCTCATTTCTATCATCGTCGTCATCAGTGTCTATGTCGATGTCAAAATTCACATTCATGTCCTCATCATCGTCACTGAAATAAATACTTGGCTCAAGAGCTGTGCTAAAAGATTTCTTCTCCACAGGTTTGCTGATGTCACTCTTCACCGGCACGTCCTCTGCCTTGTCTTCTTTCTCTGTGTTCACGGCTTCATGTTCATTTGGCTCCGGCTGCTCTTTTTCAATCTCCTTCTTCTTTTTCTTTCTTTGGCTTTGTTTTCTTTTGCTTTTTTTACCTGTGGAAAAGACAAAGACAGATCTGTAAGAAGAATATCTGCATTTTTCGTACTTTTTAATTTTTAAACATTTCAGCTCACTTTTTAATAAAGAAACATCCTTCGGAAATAAGCAAATAGCTAATATTGTCCCACCATACATCAGTTGAGGACTATACAAGGTGAATCATCTGCCATAATAAACACGAATACCACTCAAAAATAACTGCAGGCACGACTATTATATCACACATCAAAGGAAACTTCTGAACCTTCATCATCTTCCTCAGCATCGCTGTTTCTGGGGGGACAGGCTCCATGACTGGCTGCAATTCATCTTTAAAGGAAAGAGGAAAAAAGGAACTCGACAGTGGTTCAACATTATTCCAACAAGTGGCGGTAACGCAGCAAGAAAAAAATAAACATGCATGGAAACAATCGGGGTTTCTAAACATTCTTAATGGAGTTTTGCAAATGCGTTGAGGGAGGATTTGGGTGAACAGAGATTTGAGTCACATACCTGGAATCTCAATTTCCTCCAGAGTCTTTCCTTCGAATCGTTCGAGAGATCCATTCTCCAGTGCCGACAGAAGCTCTGATATTTTTGCGACATCGGCAGCTGCCTCGGGCGTCTGATAATACTCCCAGTCTGTCTGAATGTCACAGCCCAACAGCTTAGCTAGCTGAGTGAGCTCGTCATTTTTAAGGCTGAGAATCTGGAAAATTCTTACTATGTACTTACGAAAACACTGAGACCTGAGAGCTTCCTGGTTCTTTGCACCACAGCGATTAACGAACATCCTGATACACGCGTGTCCCTTGTGAAAGTCTGACCCTTTGCCACCAGGATTCCCAAATAAGAAGGGATTGTCCTTACCTACTCCACATGTGTCCCTCTTGTCCACAAGCACCGTTAGCGCAGAAAGCACTTCAGGGCTCAAAGTAAGAGCAAATATTTTTCCATTTGAGTTACTAACACCAATCGTGACTTTGTGCTTAGACAGAATTTGCTCCAATTGGGTCTGTGAACCAGCAGCATCTTCCTGAAGCTCTGCGGAAGCCCTTTCCTTGAATGACTGGAGTGTCACCCTTGAAACATCCTGAATATTTTTGTTTAAGAAGGACACGAATGCAAGTACCACTTTGAGAAGCGCGTTGTAGACCGGTGTTACTGCATACATCATCAGGCTCTGGACTGCAGAAGCTGTTGTCCTGTTCAGGCACTTGTAGAGCAGCATCACATCTTGTGTAAACTGTAAGGTTGGCTGGCAGGGTGTTTTTGGTTGTGATTTTGCATGGGAGGGCCATTCTTTCGTACACAGCTTAATAAATGCCTCAGCTTCCTCTAACACCTCTTCATCACCATCCTTCAAAGCCCTGGCGTATTTAATGTCAGCGATCTTCTTCAGCGAATTTCCAAGCTTCCAAACGAGAGATGGTTTGTCAAACGACTTCGACCCCTCTTTGATGCCCGCAATCTCCTGGACAGCTTCTACAACGGCGTTGAAGTTTTGGGGCTTGACTGCGTCTTCGAAGCTGTTTATCGACTTCTTTCTTAACGTTATCAGGATCCGTCCCATTTGCCTCAGCTTCTGAGTGACGTATCCCTGATTCTGTTTCTTCTCTCTCATGTGGTAGCAACATTGTGCCAATTGTAATATGTAAGAATCTTCGCAAACTACAGAGGAAATATCGTCTTTCTTCATTTTTTTCAACATCTTCTTCACACCTGTTGAGATCTGTTCAGGGTCCGTTAGTCCAGTGGCGGCAACCAAAGTTAAGATTTGACTTTGAACGCCTTCTGGAGGTTTATTGGATGCCATCGAGGGACACTTTTGCATATGATGCCACACCACTTTACGATCATACATGCGTTTACAATATACACAAGTGGCGAGTGTTTTAAATGTGGACATCTCCGATTTTCTTTCCACTTTCAGTTTTCCTCTGCGAGCCTTCAAGACTCCTTGGTTGTGTTTGAAGTTTCCTTTGTTTCGCAACATCTCCAGACGCTTTTTGCGTTCCTTGCTGTTCCTGCGCATTGCGTACACTTCAGCAATTTCAGGTTCTTCCTTTCTATGCGTGAAAAGGTGACGAGAAATTTTAGTTTGAGGTTTCCCACAAACGTAACAGTAATTTCTCTTAGTGAAGGAAGTTTCTTTAGACTTTCCATCAGAGTCAGACTCATCGGAGTCCGACATATCGTTCGGCGCTTTGGAAGAACCGGCCTTCGAGTCATCTGCATTTTCTTCAAATTCCTGATCCTGGTCATCGTTTTCGGTAAAACTGTCATCATTGCTTGGTTCATTGTCAATGACATAATCTTCATCAGAGAAGCATTCTGCAGAACTGAATTCCTCATCTGAGTTTTCCACCTAGAATTAATTAAGAAAAAGGCAAATTTATGCACCCAACACACAAATCTAACTGCACTCTGATTTTCTTTACAATAAACAAGCCACTTAATACTCATGCTGATAGTCCAGACTACCATGTTCTCTCTGTCTTAGTTTAGTTCAGAGCGAGTTCTCCTTCGTTTTTGGCCGACATATTTAGGCTTAAAATTCTGTTTGGATGGATTTTAAACGCTTTTAATAACCTCAACAGAACTTTACACTTGAATCATAGTTATTAAAGAGAGGCATCAAATCACTCCCTGTCTTCACCACCCACAACACTGGATGCATTTATTGCAAACAATGCATTTTGACTCAGAATTAACAGCATTATGACTGCTACTGTGTATTTAGTGCCTTTTTTCATTCACAGATGTCGTTATAAGCAGAAGGTCTGCAGAAGAGACTGTGCTGCTAGATTACCGATGGACTCTTAGGGAAGTTAAACCCTTTAACCCTTTTGTAAATACCAGACATCATAAAGTGATGAATCCCGAGTCTGCAGTCACATTTACAGTGCTGGTGTTTAATATAAAACAAATCTTGTTCAACACCTACTCTTTCATCCACTGTCGAAGACGCTGCAGTCTCCATTTCTGAGGTTTGTGGTTCTTTGTTTTGATCCTGTAAATAAAAAGAAGACAGCAAAGTCAAAAAGAAAACTTCCTGTATATATTCTCTAGGGGTGCAACGATATTCGTATCGATATTGAACCGTTCGATACAGTGCTTTCGGTTCGGTACGCATATGTATCGAACAATACAACATTTGTAATTTATTTTATCAACTTTCCTTCTGACGATGCTGTCTGTGTTGAGCGCTCAGTGAATCTGCGTTCGACTACTCCGCCTAGGCTGCACTGTCAAGCGCAGATCCACTGAGCGCTCAACACAGACAGCATAGTCAGAAGGAAGAGCGCAGGGCAAGCTAGCGAGACAGAAGTTAAGCTCTCCTTGCAACAGGCAAATTGAACCTCATTCAGATCTGGCGTTTGGAATTATTTTGGTTTTAGTGTGTTAGCGCAGTTAGCTCGTTAACGTGTTGGCCGTCTAGCCCCATGCACGGAGCGATCGGCGGTAGCTCGTTAACGGAGATTTGCCGTGTTGTGGCGTTAAGGTCATTTCAACGAGATTAACGCTGACAGCACTAGTGGGAACACAACGAATATGACTGCACATTTACGCCGACATCATCCTAGTGCAAAGACAAGTGGAAGCAGAAAAAAACAAGCAAGCATGCTACCAACTTTAGCCGAGTCATTTAGACAGCTGTTAGCACATGATTCTCCTTATATATGTTTAATATGCTGCTGAGAATATAGCCCAGAAGAAGCGGATAGTATAGCTTTTATTTTGGAAAGAGACATTTCTCTGTAATAAACTCTCTTTTCCAAAGATGAGTGATTCCTCAATCAGATACAGGGCTCGCAATATCGCTAGCCCGACGTCCCGGGGCTAGCGATTTTTTTTCTGTCGGGCTACCAAAATCTATCTCTGCCCTGCCCGTAGGAAGGAAAAATATATGTCAATGCTTTTGCATTCTTTCAGAAATGTAGCTGGGTAATTATGTCATTGGCATCGGTGAGCCACTGTCAATATGTGACATATTGAAATCGCGTTTGAATTTGCGCTTGTTTTTTTTGCTTTCAATTTGCAATCGTGCAAACTGTGTATAGAGAGCGACAGCACTGATCTGTGAGTGATGATAATTTGTGCACCAATTCCTCTGACATCGTCTTATTAATTGTTAGCTTACTATGCAAACATGACAAGTGAAATCTCCCGCAGCAAGCTTAAATATGTGAGAGGTTGATCGCGCAGAGAATCGCTGAGCTTATGTGAGTGCGTGTGTAAAAGCAGCAGGAGAAGTTATGACATATCAGACTATAAGGCAAAAAGAAAGTGCAGCTTTATGGTTTCATGGACAAAAGAATTTCTTTGGCTGCAATATGATGAGCTAAATAACCAGGGCTGCACATAAGTGGTCCGCAGGTGTGCATTCGCTGTCAAAATAAAAAACACGCACAAGGGTTAGGGTTAAATTTAAAAACTGTACTTTTGAGTTAAAATATATATTTATAATTTTAATAAATGACAAATTAAAAATGCATGAACATTTTTTTGTATCGAAAAAATATCGAACCATGACACCAAAGTATCGAACCGAACCGTGAATTTTGTGTATCGTTGCACCCCTAATATTCTCATATACTGTTATGAACAGAGGTTAGAAATTTACACACAGAGACAAAGAACAAAGAAGTCCATCCAACATCATACCAAACCAAATAAACCTACTGCTGATCGCCAAGCGTAAGAGGACTGCCCATAGTTGTAAGTTATCTCCTCGCCTGGAGATATTTTCTTCAGAGCAAACAGGCACAGATGTGGTTTCCCCTCATGAGCAATTTTCTTCATTTTGCAGTTGGGGCTTACGTGATCATCATTCACGAGTCGTCCGAGAGTCCCATCCTCTGCAGAAGCATCAATGCTGCAGGGCAAATGCTCACAATGAACCTTCAACCACTGTTAAAATTATGCATTTTATCACAGTGACTCGGACTGATGGTGGTGACGGACAGTCAGTGTCTGCACGTTCAAGCTATCTTTATAAGTAGGTTGAGTAAAGTAATGTTAAAGAAAAGCATGTTTCATGCACATAATGAAGATTTTTTTTAAAAACCTGGATCTGACTTGATATCAACCTTTCTCAGGATACACGAGGGCTTTCTATTAAACATGAGCTTTTAGACATTTTAAAACAAGAACCCTCCTTATATTGCTGAAAACTCACCACCAGCTTGTTCCGTTCCAGGAAAACTGAAACAAGAAATTGTTGAGGGTGTCTACACATTTCTCTGGACGGGTTTCTCCACAGGTTGAGATGTTCCCCCGATACTCAACAACAAAGTTGGATGGCTCAATGGCTTTACTGGTGAACACACCTCTCCCTACAAATATGCAAAAAAAAAAAAAAAAAAGTTTGATTCAGTTACTAATTTGTAGTCATAAGACCAATCCATGGTAACAACTAGACCAATAGTAATCAAATAGTATTTACGAAAAGAAAAGTGTAGCAATAAAGTTTCCTGATGTATTCACCGTTTACATGATCTATTATAAGATTACCTTTCAGTGTCTCATATCAACAATCAACAGGGGCTGAGACTAACAGCCAGTTTACAAAAACAACCATAACAGGGCGGTTATAAGGGATTCATGACCAACCTTTAGTGGAATTAATAAACATTTCCTTCAGGAAGGATTTGTCCTTGCAAGCCTTTATGTGCTGCATGGCATCCTGCTCAGGAGTTAGCTGTCCACCTTGCTGATCCACATCATCTGAAGAGTCCAAAAATATTATTGAAATACAAAAATCATTAACACAATTTTCACATAAACTATTTTTGATGTAAAGATGAAGATGTGTTATCATCTGTTTCAAACAAATAACAGCATGCTGCAGTTTCTCTCGCCTTTTTTAGTTTATTCACCATTCATGTTGTGGAACGAAGCAAACTATGTGCACGCCCTGGATACAGAGGGTGAGTACGTCCTCACCTTTGGTCATGTTTTAAAATTTTGTTTGGGTAGATCTTAAAGGATTTTAATGAGCTCCCTGAGAGTGATGAATATTGTAGTCAGTCATTATTGAATGTAAGTAGACAACACTGTCTAAAAAAATCCTTCATAACTTCAATAACCTTTTAAGGTTGTTTTCTCTGTGTAAGTACTGTTCATGACAGCTAACCCAATATAGTGGAAAACTTAAAAGTTGTAGCTTGAAAATACAAATATCCTCTGATTATAGCCTTGTAGGGGCAACTTAGGCCTGCAGGCCCCGAGAGAACAGGAAACAGTTTAGAAAAACAATATTTTGATTTTCTAGTTGCATTAATAAACACATCTGGACAAAATTTAAAGTGGTATTAAAAAGGTTACTGGAATATGGCATCCCTTCATTTTGTCCTCATGAACATTTGTGTGAAACCTGATCATGTTTAGCGAATGAATTCTTTGACCCTCCCATCCAAAATCTTCAGCTTATTTTTGAGTCCTTAGAGTGTTGAAGTTGGAGATTTTGAGATTCATTGTGTTCACAAGAATAGTACAGACATTTGAGGAGTCCAAAAGAATAATCACTCCAGGTTAATAGGTGCAGAAAGGCTCATCTTTGCAACATACCGCTCTGCTGAGGTAGAAAATCTGACTCTTCATGGTCCACCACAGAGCTGCCCTGCTCCATATCTGGCTCCAATTCATCTTGAATGATCAAAACAGACTGCATTTATTCACAACTCCTTAAAAGACAATCTAATGACCACTGGCAGGCTAATGTGTGTTTATGTCTGCATAATACTGGACACAAACCTTCAATCTCAATCTCATCCAGAGAGGTTCCTTTGAATCTTTCAAGAGAGCCTTTTTCCATTGCCAGAAGCAGTTTAGCAATTTTTGCGAGTTCAACAGCCGCTTCGGGCAGCCGATAATAATCCCTGTCCATCCGGATGTCATGACCCAGCAGTTTAGCAAGGTGAGGTAGCTCATCATTCTCCAAGTTAAGAATCTGAAAAATTCTTGCAATGTGCTTGTGAAAATGCACGGACGTGAGGTGCTCTGGGTTCTTTGCAGAGCACATTCTTGTGTAGACCCGAACACAGTGGCCTCCGTGGTAGAGGCTTGTGGATGAACCGTCTGGCTTTGCAAACAAGAAAGGATTGTCTTCGTGTACTCCGCACGCTGGTCTCTTGCTCATAAGCAACGTTAATGCGCTGACGAGCTGAGACGTCAACAAAACAGCAACGTTCTGCCCAGTCTTGCCTGCAATATTAATCCTGATAAAGTGCTTGGACAACACCTGGGTAGTCTCGTCCCGCTCCTGGAATGACTTAAGGGTAATTTTTGAAACCTCGGGTGCGCATTTGTTTAAGACTGACACCTGTGCAAGTATGACTCTGCAAAGTGCATTATACATCTGAGGGGTTTCATACTTCTTCATGCACTCAATGGCAGAAGCAGAAGTCTTTTCCAGGTGCGTGTAGAACGTCTGTATGTCACGCGTGAACGGTATCGTAGAGGGGCTGTGTACTTTGTGTTCACTTGATGAAGGTGCATCTTTGTGAGGGCCAGTTTCCTTCCACTCCTTCGCACACAGCATCATGAATGTGTTAGCATCTCTCACGGCCCGCTTACTGCTGTCGCTCTGTGCGACAACAAATTCTCCCAGTTTTTTCAGAGACTTTACAAAAAACAAGGCAAGGCTCGGTTTGCTGTACTTCTGCTTTTTTTCATCAAAACCAGAGAGGTTTCTGACAGCAGCAACAACTTTGTAGAAGCTTCTGGGTTTAAGTGCTGCTTCAAAACTCACTATTCTCTTATCATGGAGCTCTATTAAGAGCCTTCCTATTTTTCTCAACTTCTGTCTGACGCGCTCTTGGTTTGTCGGATCATTTCCACTGTTCTCAATAAGACTCTGGGCCATCTTCATGAAAAGGTAGTCATGTTGAATTAAAAATACAATTTCATCTTGTTTCATCGGTGAAAGTATCTCCCAAACTTCAGACGGAAACTTTTCAGAGAACTCCGACTCGGTGACATCCCCCAAGATGCTCGTCTCGCCATGTGTTGCAGCATTTATTGTTTGCTTAGCACACTTTGCTACATGCCTATATAGGTCTTTGCTTTGAAGCATTACTTTACAATAAATGCAGTGCACAAAATTTTCAGCAGTCATTACATAGCGGGATGATCGTCTTCCCACTTTTAGCGGTCCTGTGTTACTCCTCAGAACCTCTTGATTATGTTTGTAGTTTCCTCTTTTTCGTAATTTGGCCAGCAGACTTTTACGTTCTGCTGAGTTTTTGGGTAAAGCAAAGATTTCAGCGATTTCAGGGTCTTCATCGATGTGCCTTGAAAGATGCCGAGGAATTTTGTGATAACCTTTCCCGCAAACATAACAGTAATTTTTCTTTGTGAAAGATGTTCCTCCGCCTTTTAGTCCAGCCTTACTGGATCTGTCTCCTTTGTATCTGTCTTCTTTGTACGTCTTGTCTTTGTCCGAGTCATGATCATCAGAACTCGAAGTGTCATCCTCCTGAATTGATGACACTCTCCTGAAGTTTTTCGTCATTTCTTGAGAATCTGACTCAGAATGTGGCGAACTGTCCCTGGATGACCTTCCAAGATCAACAGAGTGGTCACTGTCATGACTTGGACCTGGTAGTTCGCTGTCATCATCCGAGTCTTTAAACTGAAAATACAAATTAAGAGCATGTTGACAGACTACATTTGGTTCACTAACAGATACTTTATATGTTTTTATATGCATTTAGCAAACACATAGCTTCAAGGTACTGTGCAAAACCAGAGAGACAGACCACTACACACCTTCCAGACAAACAACCTTCAGCAAATGTAGAATTTAGAAATATACCTAAAAAGCATGGACTATAAAATCTTGCACAGGTAAAATATGCAAACTCCGAACACAACGGCCCCCGAGAGACCATAAGGTTCGAACCAGGAACCTTTTGTACTTCTGTACTCCAAAACAAAATTGCTGCTTGTTTACGTACTCTTCTTTTCTTGGGTGTTGATGAAATTTGATACATTTTTTTGTCTGAAGTACTTGGTCCATCACGTGACTCCTGTAAATGTGAAATAAGACAAAAAAACTGAATATAAACATTAATATTTGGAAATGATTACATACCAAACTGTAAATTTGGACATATTTGTGTACTGGTTTGATTGAGTTTTTACTGTTACAAAACATTTTTTTTATTTGTCTTAAAAAGAATTCAAAAACTTTGCACATGTAACCCTGGTAAGATTTACAGCAATCAGAAGTACAGGGTTCTTTGAATGCATCGTAGTCCTTGTCTGATAGTTTAATTTCCGGGCTTGCCCTGAAGGCACCGTCTGCGGCTCCGTGCGCGTGAAGGTGTGGTGTAGAGGAAAAAGGACGGCAAGGAAAAACTCCATGCTGCCGCGGAGCACGGTTTTTTCCCGTTGAAAGAGAGGAAAGAGGTTTAATTAACATTTGTGAGAGAGCTGTCGTTAGCGGTGAACCACAGACGGGTACCTACCTGAAAGGAGCCGGAGTATTTCTTCGAACTTTTTTGAACTATTCTGGTGAGTTAGCCTAGCTCACTTAGCACCGCTATTGCAGTTCAATGCACTGGAAAAAATAACTAACCAGTCAGAATAGTAGTAAATGTGTTTAATGATGTTTAAGATGTGTTTTCATAGTATTGCAATGTTGTGACAGTTTTGTTTATTATGAGTGTCTAATGTTTTTACTTTCTTGGGCCTGCTAGTTCAGCCGCGGCCAGCTAAGTGGTTATGCGCAGTTCACGTGCAATAGCTGTGCTGTTACTGTAACTGCGGGTGATGCACAGTAATACGGTGTATTTACTTTTAATGTGTCACAAGATGCAAATTTATTTTAATATTTCAAAAGAACCAAGGACATTAGGAACAAGGACATTTAAGGAATGTGGACATCTAACATTCTGCATATTTGTGTGCAGACTGGTTTTTTTTGAGGTACAGTTCCATGGGTGCCAAGTGAGGAGCTGGTATCGTGGGTCTAAGACACTGTTGCTGCTGTGGAGGCCTTCTCTGTGTCAGGACGCCGACACGTTGATGCCTGCCGTACCAGGAGGGCGGTAGGGAAAAAAACAAAAGGAAGCCCACCTGAGAGATACCTTATCATTTTCTTTGCTACTTTTTCTCCGCCTGAGATTCAGGTCGTTTTCAGTTCTTAACCCAGGACAGTGGGTAACTGAATAAACTGACACCATAAGGAACTGGACACTCACATGCTATTTTCTTTTCTTTTTCCTTTTCTTTGGGGTGTTGAAATATTGTGTTTCTTGTCTTACATCTATTTTGATTGTTTCAATTATTTTTGTGATGCATTTGAGATGGTTACTGCATTTGAAGATATCCCTACATTGAGGATGAGCAAAGGGAACTGATCCAAAAGGAAATATATAAAGCAAACTTTGTTTCATAAACCTGTGGTCGTGCGTGTTATGTGGGTTGGAAGTCTCATTGCTCTTACAGAGTTGCTACCGCCAATCTCCTTCCCAAACCTAGATTCGGATATTGTAGACATTGCACTTGGGCGAGCAGTATAGATCATCTCTTTATAGATAGAGGGACACACGTCCAGGTTACACACATCTGCCACATCCCAGAAAACAAAGCACACCAGGCTAAAGAAAGGCATCAATCTCAGACTGGTAGAAGGATCCGAACCAAAGTCAGATCACAATCTCATCATAAAAGAGCCACTCTGGGGTTCTCATTCTGACCACATTTGGACTACTCGTTGGTACTAGCCAGACTGAGAACGCCTCCTGTAAAACACTATTAGTTCTAGAGTAAGTGTAACGCTATTTTACACTTATAGATGTCAGGTTCTTCTGAATGAGCACAGAGAACTGTTCTGGTGTGTTCAGAGGGAGTGAGTGGAATATATAAAATCATAAGAAAGGCTTCTTTAATAATATAAACATACCTTGGGACGCCACGAGTAATAGGAGCTGCCGTAGTTGTAAGTTA